CATTCACTATGTGTATGGATGGCTAGCCGAATATTTCAACACGCACTTTATTTCTCCAGAGCACAACTATGTTCCTCAAATGATACAGTTTGAAGGGGAAGGGTCAGCGAAGCACTTCGATGAATCAGAAGCCCAAAATTTGTTCAGATTTTATGAAGGTGTCAAATTATCACATTTATCTAAAATATTCGAGCCAGAGCGACTATTTGTGGATGATATCCAGCAAAATTTCTCAATCTTTGAATATTTTGCCTCCCTTCAGTCGAGTTATTTGACATTTTGCCAAGATAACCATTTCATCATTGAGCTTTATAGTCCGCATAGGTTTAGGAAACAATTTCACTTTCCTCAAGATGTCCCAGGGAGGTTGAAGAAGGACATTCGTACTGGTAAATTAGAAGAAGTTATGAAACTATGGAGATTGTCCCCCTGTTTCCATACTGGGTGTAAAGTAATGATTCCTTCGAGCTCCAATCTCCAGAAATTCGGGGTCATGAAAGCATATGCTGAATGGTGGGCTAAAGTCTATATAGATCCTTTACACAGGAAGAAACTCCCTCAAAGTAACCTAAACGGATGATTTCCCCACTAGAGAAACCAACTAAAATCAGGAAGGTTTTAATTAAGGGGTTGAAGTCAAGCCTCCCATCTAAGCCAATGCCAAAGACAACCATCAAATCTTATAATAACTGTGATGTTGTTGGAGGGTCTAGTAGTCATCATCAGATAGCAGAAGAGGTCCCACCACTAATCAATAACCATCGCCGTCGTCAGTTAGCAATGGATTCAGATGAGGATGTGAACGCTTGTGATGAGGATCATAACTGGAAGCATGTCACTGATAAGGTGAGACTTGATCCAGTACAAGAATGTGTTACCACTTCTCTTGATCGATTTTTTAATGAGGTACCTAGCAGTTCACAACCTATACAGGTATTATTATTATTATTATTATTATTATTATTATTATGATATATATATATATATATATTATATATTTTGTTTCTTTTTATTATTATTTTTTTTCTCTCGCGATTTACCATCACCTTTTTTTTAATAGACAGAAGGCAACGAGGGATTTCTCGGGGAAGATGTCATCTTTGTTGCAAACCTAACATGTAGTGAAGAATTTATTTATGGATCGTCTGCCTTAGCATTGGCAACTGCGATAGGAAAAGGTATAGAGGTTCACTACAAAGAAGCAGAGCTATTCAACACTCGGATGTTTTGGGGGTTGCTGAAGTGACTTGTCAAACTATGGAGGCAGTTGAAAAAGTTGATATGGCTATCCCTTACATGCCTATAAGAGAACAGGGTCCACCCTTACATCATATTGCCCCCTTCGAAATGTCAATTTTCAATGCTGAAGAGATCGTTCTTAAAGTTCATCGCTATGCTACTTTATTCTTTATTGATGTCATAAAAGGTATCATCCGCGATACTCCTACTGAAAAAATATCGTCCCGAGCACCTAAACATCAAACACTTTATGAGGGACTCGCAAAACTCCCTAGAGACCATTCAGCTTTGAAGAGGCGAATTGACTCGTATACAAATAATGCGGCCAATTATGTTGCTACATCTTCTTCCTATGCTTGTATGATGACTTCAGACTCTCAACCCCAACGATTGGCCAGTATTGATACACAGCTCACTAACGCTAGGTCTATAGAAGATGATGATGCTAAATGTATGCAATCACTTCGATCTAGTTTGAGTGAACCCGAAGTTAAAGAACCAAAGTTAGTGAAGGAGTTGCAACAAGTCAGGGAAAAGACTCAGGAGCTTAAAGTCCTCATATCGACGGTGGATACACAGTTATCTCAGAAGAAGGAAGTTGTCACCAAACTTTGGGCAAATCGAAAATCAGTGAAAGAAGCTAACGTCATCTCTAATAACGATCTTGAAGTAGTGAAGTAACTAGAAGAGATATTATGGCAAGAACGTGACGAAATCGTAGTTATGGAATTTTAATATTGATTATCATCCTTTTTTTATTTATTTTTTTTCAAACCCCAAAAGTTGTAACTTTGAATCTCAGCAATAAAACAAATGATTTATTATCTCTATTTGTTTAATAAAGATGTTGTCATTGTTTATTTGTTTCGCCGTTCACAGTTTATACTTTTGCGGGTCAGGAGTATGCAGAATTATTATTATTATTATTATTGGGGCCATACACAGTTTTAGCTCATGCGGGCCAGGAGCATAATGCAATTTAAGCTCATACGATCAGGAGCATTGCCTTCGTGGGTAGTAGCACTTCAAGAACTTGCCATTAATGGGCCCCACTCTTACTCCGTCTTCATCAATAATGAGATATGCGCTGTTAGTATTAACTTCACGAACAACATATGGTTCATCCCATTTGGATACAAATTTATTTTCCTTGCGATTCATAACAATTGGTCTACGAACAGCTAATACTAAGTCTCGAACTTGAAATGATCGAGATCGAACTTTCTTATTAAATGCTTTCGAAAGTCGAGCTTGATAACACTCTAGCTGTTGTTGAGCTTCTAATCTCTTCCCATCCAATGCTTCCAGTTCTTGAAGACGTAAGATGGCATTTTCTTCACTTGTAAGACCTTCTTGTATGGTTATCCTTAACGAAGGGATCTGTTGTTCTAATGGAAGAACTGCTTCCACGCCATAGACAAGAGAATACGGAGTTGCTTGAGTAGGTGTACGATACGTAGTGCGATATGCCCACAATGCTTCTTCCATTCGCTCATTGTCTGGTTGACTATTTTCTTCAATAACTCACAAAGAGTTTTATTGAATGCTTCCGCGAGACCATTTGCAGGGGCATTGTACATGGAGGATTTACGTTGTTCGAAGCCAAACTTCTCACAAAGGTTAGTTACGCAACTGTTTTTGAAATTTGTCCCATTATCAGTGATGATGTATCGAGGGACACCATATCGATAAATAATGTTAGACTTGATGAAATCAACCAGTGTTCCCTTTTTCACATGTTTATAGGGTGCAGCTTCCGCCCATTTAGAAAAATAATCAGTGGCAGCCAAGATATACAAGTGGCCCTTTGAAGACTTGTCTAGAGGACCAACTACATCTAATCCCCATGCATCAAATGGCCATGACGTCACAGTAGGGTGCAATGGTTCCGGTGGTTGGTGTATAAAGTTAGCATAGAATTAACAGGCTTGACACCTCTTTGCATACTCCATGCAATCCCTGACCATGGTGGGCCAATAATAACCCATTCTTTTGACACAAAAGTGAAGCTTTAGACTAGATTGATGGGCTCCACAAATCCCAGAATGTGCCTCCTTCATTGCATGGGTTGCTTCCTCATTTCCAAGGCAGCGAAGGAAAAGACCCTCATGAGAACGTCTATACAACGTATTGTTGTAATAGATGAAACGAGGTGCTCGTCTTCGTATTTCAGTCTTGTGGCATAGGTCTTCGGGAGGCTTTCCATGTTCTAGATAATTAATGATAGGGAGCCTCCAGTCTTCTTCCTCTTGTGTCCAGCAAGAAACCAAATTACTTTCTTCAAATTTATCTTCCAAAACTTATGGCAAGATCCATCGTTGACATACAGGAACATCAACCAGGTCCTCATCAGTTAACGCCAATGTTTTAGCTAAATTTGCCAAAGCATCCGCTATCCGATTTTCTTTCCTCGGAATGTGTTCTAGCATGACGCTATCAAACCGTTCCAACAAATGAGAGGCATAACGATGGTACAGCACTAGATCATCTTTCTTAACTTCATATTCTTTAAGAAGTTGATTAATCACCAACTTAGAGTCTCTATATATTTCGAGATCCATGATCTTCATCTCATTTGCCATTTGAAGGCCGATGATCAAGGCTTTATATTCAGCTACATTATTTGAGCAGTTTTTAGCGAGTGCAAAATAGTATGGAATAACATGCCTTTTTGGAGAGACAAACACTACTCCTGCTCTGGCCCCGTCTGCTCGTGCTGCCCTATCGAAAAACATCATCCATGGAGGGAGGATGTCCACAAGGAAGACTTCTTCATCGGGAAAATCTTCAGAAATTTCCCAATTGGCTGGAATAGGATGGCCAACTAAGAAATCTACCAAGACTTGTCCTTTCACTGCTTTTCGTGGTATATAAATAATTTCAAATTCATTGAACAAAATTGACCACCTTGCCAAGCGTCTGGAAAGGACCGGTTTAGACATGACATATTTGAGAGGATTAACCCATGCAACAAGATGTATCGTATGAGCCAAGAAATAATGTCTCAATTTCTTAGAGGCGAAGACAAGTGTGAGGCATGTTTTTTCAATTGGAGGATAATTTCGCTCCGTCGGGGTGAGTCTGCGACTTAAGTAATACAATGCATTTTCTTTATGTGCTTAATTATTCTGAGTAAATAAGGCACCCAACGATTCTTCTTGCGCAACAATGTAAAGTATGAACGGCTTTCCAGGTACAGGTGCTCCCAATACCGGAGAATTGAGAAGGTACTTTTTGATGCTATCAAAAGCATTTTGGTAAGATTGGTCTTAGATGAATGGGGTATCTTTCTTCATGAGTCGGTTAAAAGGCTGACAATGGCCAGCCAAATTTGAGATGAACCTATGAATGAATGTAAGTTGACCTTGTAAACTTCAAAGTTCGTGTAAATTCTTTGGTGGCGGCATCTTTTGAATGGCCTCCACTTTATTAGGATCAATCTCAATACCACGATGATGTATAACGTATCCTAGGAATTTCCCTGAAGTCATACCAAATGCACATTTAAAAGGATTCATCTTGAGTTGAAATTTTTGGAGGTGATTAAAAACTCCACGTAGATCCTGTAAATGATCCCTTCATTCTTTCGTCTTAACCACCAAGTCATCAACATAACATTCAACAATCTTGTGGAGTATGTCGTCGAAGATCCTTTGCATGGCGCGCTGGTATGTTGCTCCTGCATTTTTGAGTCCAAAAGGCATAACTTTATAACAATATATGCCTTTAGGAGACAATTACATCATGTTGGATCATTATGTTATGCAATGGTTGCAGGAAATGGATAAGCAAGTCCCTCTGATGGATGAGATAGACACTAAGGTCAAAAATTTGTTCTTTTCTTGAAAGTTTTTGAAGCTGCAACGATTTTTAAAAAAATCACAGTGCTTTTCTTCTTATCTGACAGGTGGACAGGGCAACATCTAACCTTAAGAATACCAATGCTAGACTCAAGGACACTGTTAATCAGGTACTTATGTTGCAAGTATGTTTAATTTAAATTTCCATCTAGATTCAGCTGTGTTCGGTTGTGGATTCCTTTCCTGGATTTAACAAGAAGTTCTGTAATTTTGTTCCAGCTGAGGTCAAGTCGAAATTTCTGCATTGAAATTATTCTGTTGTGTATAATTCTGGGAATTGCAGCCTATTTATACAAGTGCATTTTTCTTTCTCCATCAATGGAAGGAAAAGATATAATTTTGCAAAAAATTGACCTGCTTAGAGAAATTTAGTAGAAAATCTCATGCATGGAAGGGTGAATTAATGAGCACTAGCAAATCATCTGACTTGGGAAGATGGCAACTAGTAGCTTAACTGGTGGTAACTTGGTAAGCTAGGAAACAAGGACTTGGACACGGATACGAAAATAGATCCAGTATGATATTGCAAATCTCAAAAAAATAGGACATGGTTCCAGTATGATATGTCTAAAAACAATAACATAATATATTATTATATATATATATGTAAATAATAATTTTTGCTCATTTTACCCATATAATTATGAATGATTCACTAATTTGGAGCTTAGGGTTAGATGTCTGGATGGTAAGGCATGTTGGTTGACAGGTTTTAGTCTTCGAAGTTTGAGCTTGTGCTAGTTCCCATCCCTGATTGCCTATCCACCACCACCACCCCCTGCCCCCCAAAAGTAAAAATATAGAAAAGAAGAAAGATATAAAGATATGAAAATGAACTGAGAGACCACCAAGGGCCTAGACCAAGGGTATCTACTTGATATGCTTTGATATTTTTCTTAATTTTCTTGCTTGAATTATTAGTTTCTCAGTCTGATATCCGACCATAAAAGGGCCTATACAAGGGTAATGGGTGTGTGTCTTACCAAAGGGAAAAACTGAGAGTACTGGAGGTTAAATTCTACGCAATTTAGATGCTTTGATATTTTTCTTCATTTACTTAGCTTGAATTGTTAGGTTCTCAGTCTGATATCCGACCATAAAAGTTTTTAACATATGAGATCTGTTCTATACTTGTTTGAGTTGAAGTTTTGTTGCCTGGTCAATTTTTTTATTTTAGTATAGATGAGTCATTCTAATGGAGTGTTTACTTACTTGTAGTGTACTGAAATAGTAAAGTGATACCATGGGCAACGGAATCTTCTTGGCTTGATCTGGTATTGATTGGCTTGCATTGGTTGAGGTCTTGCTGTGTTCTTGATTTTGGATTTGATTTGTTTTATCAACGTTTATATCTTTGAGGTCAAGCTTGCCCCCCTCTCTCTCTGCAACTGCTAACTTGTATGTATGGGTTTTGTTTTAAATTTTATTCTAAATCAACCAATCAAGGTCTGTAATTCTTGTTTTGCAAACTAAATCCTATTTAGTGAAATTTTTTATGATCTTTTATATATATATATATTACAATATAAAGTAACAAATTTGCATTGCATTTTGAGGTAATCACGTAATCTACATTTTATTTCAGCAAAACAAATATATATGTTTCTGTTTCTATAACTTCTTTTATTTTTTATTTTTTTTATTTTTTTTTTGTTGTTGTTGTTGTTGTCGTCAATTATGTCTACAACAAAATTTGAAGCTGGGCACGAAAAGCGAAAAAAAAAAAAAAAGAATCTGAATTGGATTAGAAATCTGCAGAGAGTGAATCTGTAACAATTTTTATCAACATGCCAAGCTTTTTGAAGACGAAAATCTTTTCAGAACTAAAAAAATCATAACAAGAACTTTGACAAGCAAAAGTACTTAATATAGGGTAGTTGCTTCTTGAAAATTAAAATACTTACAAAAAGCATGCTTTTGAGTGAATTCTTCCATTAGTGTTGGAAGGGGCTTGCCATGAACTACGTCACACTCTGCTTCCACTAGTAGATTCTCAAATAGGATTAGTAAATTGGTCAAAAGAAGAGATAGGGTACTGAGTGGTGAATTGTTTACAAATAAATTGGTAATTTTGTTTTTTAAAATTACCCAAATAGGATTTTCTATGCCTTAATCAGTCAATTGTCTAAAGAAACATTGTTAATTAACTAAAATTGAATTAAACAACAGTTGATTTTGGTTGATATATTTTGACTTAGCCCACCCCATTGAGAAATCCTGGATCTACCCTTGCCTCCACCGTCCACCCAGCCACCGCGTCATCACTCACTTTGTCTCACATCTCTATCTCTATAAGCGTACTGATCTGTTTCATTGATTTTTAGCATCAAAATTGTCTGTTAAATGCAATTTTTTATTTTATCTTTATATAATAGTTTTAGAGTTTTTTATTGGTTTCAAACTGATTTAGTCTACGACTTCAATATATTTTCTGATTATTGGTCCAGTTCTGTTGGGAAAGGAAATTATATTAGAAGACTCTAATTTTATTTTTTATTTTCAGGCCCGTCGTTTATTGAATTGTGTAATCTGGAACAAATGGAGACGTCTTTGGAAGTTTCAGAACAGTTCGTGGACTTCAATTGTGAACAAAATGCATGGAGATAAAACATGTTCCCTTGTTTTCACAAATATTATTCTCATTGCCTTGAAAAATTGAAGATAATGTAGGTAATATATCAAAGAAGTGGTTTAAAAGAATGTTGCATTTAGATGTTAATGCATCTTTATAATTATAATTTAAGTTCATAGTAAAAATATAAAAAATTTCAATAGATTCTTATTTTGTTATGAGCTGTTAGATTTTGGTCTATATTTGGGATTTTTTTTTTTTTTTTTTTTTTTTTTTTTTTTTTTTGGACAGAGGCGCAAATTTTATTGATCAGAAGTAGAGGTACAATCAACTTGAATAACATGAAGAAGCCATGTAGGCTATACATCCCAATCCATATTGGTTGTTTTCTCCATTAAAGCTCTTTGCTCATCTCATGAGCCACTCCATTGCAATGATTGCATCTTTAGGCACCCATACTAAGTTACATTATGGCAATTGTTAAAGCGAAACAGCAGTATCATCTGGACATCCACTAAATCTTAACTGCATTGACCGGCTTCAGGTGCATAATAGGTTGGCAATCCCCTTCAATGTCGACTTCCTTGTATCCCCATTGAAGCAACAATATAACACTATCTCAATATAAAAGCCTCTGCAGAAGTAAAAACACAGATGCTGCTTTAATTGGTCTACCCAAATGATCTCTCAACGCTATACCCCCTCCACATTTTTTAGATCACTGATGGTATGAAGCATCAACATTAAGTTTGAGTCTACCATTTTTAGGAACAATCCATTTTTCCAAATGAGAAACAGAATAGAATATAGCAGGCATAGATTCTAACTTCTTTTGCAACTGAACTTACTTTAAACTCATTAAAGAAAAACACAGCTCTCTCCATAACAGTTCGGGAACAAGAATAATTTAAAAATGAAGATGGAAAGTACTTAGCTTTGAGGATTTTAAATAGCAAAGAGGTACCTCCTACTTCCATCCTCCAAGCTAGCTTGGAAAGGAGGGCTAGATTAAACGCGTCAAGACACTTAAAATAATGAGCACTGTCAATAAGTAAAAAAAGAGCAACCCACCTAAAAAAATTGGAAAAATACCAAGATCATCTAATATTTATGAATTAGAGAAACTGAAAATGAACACTATTCAAACCCTATCGATTTTTTACAGATGTAGAAGTTATCAGAACCAAAGACTAGATTTCCCCTTACATACTTAACAATGGCAACAAAGTTTGCTAGATGAAAGGTATTGTGATGAAAAGTTAATTTTTTTAAGTTTATATAGCAAGGTTAATCTCATGTATCTAAGGATAAAACAGAACTTTAGACAATAAGTGCAAATATTGCGTAAGTACGTTCACGTTGCCTGCATATTGTTCTTTGCTTTCTTAACTGATGCTCCCTCCTTAACTATATGCTCTTCTCCAATCTCTTTAGTAAGGGCATTACTATAGCATTACATGCTTGGCCCATTAGGATTTCAATTTTTTCCTCCCAAGTAAAACGAGGCTTTCCACGTAAGTATCCAAATGAAACGGGGATCTATACCGACAGATTCCAGTACATACCACTTTTTTGCTCTTGGGATCATATGAAACCAGCTCTCCATTACCCATTCCTACTAGAACTTCCCCTGTTTTCCTAAATCCTAAAACCTTGTTTATTCCTCCTAGACCAACAGTGAACAATTTGGTCCAAGAACTTACTACACCATATTCTTTCATCACCCATATGCAACAACTCTTACTTGTCATCCACATTAACTCCTCCTCACCGTAGTGGAACAGAGAGAGAGATTCTCCAAAACGTGCAACGGACAACTTCAGCTTACGGCCATTAGAAATGCTGCTCGGAAGCATTATCTCCTTAAAAACCTCACTGCCTCATCTAGAGAGGAAAAAAATAGTGATATGCATTATTAGCAATGCAAATGCAATACACATTATGTATTAGACAAAGTAGTGAAATCCATCAACCATGGCATTAACCTAACAACCACCAACAGAAGCCACAAAATTTAAAGATCGTGGCAGTTAAAACTTCATAAAATTCATGTTTATATTCTATCTAAAACACCCACCAAGAATAATTGAAATTTAGAATTCAAAAACTTGTAAATCCTATGAAAAATTAATTAAGTTTCCTAGCTATGTATGTTTGTTGCTCAGCAACCAAAAGAGAAGAAAAATGAAAACACAATGTGAATTTTATAGAATTCAAACCTCAAACCAGAGCTAGGGTTCCAACACCTGGCTTAATAAAATATGGGTCCTCCTAGTTATGTGCAGGGCTTAGGGAAGCCAAACATAAATATTTAATTAACTAAAATAATATATATGTTCTGAAAGAAAGAAAGAAAACCAGTCTTCTTCATTTCAAATGTTTGAATATGGTGTCATGATTTCTTTTGGTGACGGGATGTCAATGACCCAAGATATTGAGTTAATACGAAGAGTAGATCTTTCAATGTACGTTTATTATAATGCTTGCTTTGCTTGGTTTAATTTTGACAACTTTACAACTTACTTTATATTCTCTGACTTCAACTGTTACATCTTTGTAGGTCAAAGCTAGGATTGCGGTTGCCGTTACTTTTTTTGTTGCTGTTATATTTTTTGTATGGCTCATGAAGAAGTTGCATATATGTAATGGAAGAGAGAGCTAAAACAGAGCAAGAAGCTATAAGATTTTTTGTTTTATTTTGGTATGGCATTAGAAGCTAGATATTTGTATATGGTTAATTTTTGTATAAAACAATGATTTGGAGTTGGTTATATATATATATATATATATATATATATATGATGTTATTGGTTAGTTGTAAGTTATTTTGGTTATGATGCTATTTTTAATTTATTTAGTGTAGGCTTCTGGAGTCCTTGCAAGGCTAGTAGTAGGGAAAAAAAAGGCCTGGTGGGGGCTGCACTATTTTTTTTTTTTAAATTATATAACACTTTCTACCACGGTTTTGAACCGTGGTAGAAAGCCCTTTTTCAACCACGGTTCTGCACCGTGGTAGAAAGTCAATTTTCTACCACGGTGCGGAACCGTGGTAGAAAGAACAACTTTCTACCACGGTGCGAAACCGTGGTTGAAAATAGACTTTCTACCACGGTTTTGCACCGTGGTAGAAAGTCTTTTCCACCGTGGTAAAAAGTCATTTTTCTTGTAGTGATACTAGAATAGTTTTAACTTTGTAACCAAACACAACAGAAGATAAGATTAACTTTGTAACCAAACACAGAAGATAAGATAAGATTACAATCTTATCTTTAATCTTATCTTTCTATCTTCTTCCTCGGTCTTCCCAAGTTTGGTCTTTCCAAGTTTGACTGTCTCTCTCTCTCTCTCTCTCTCTCTCTTCAAAATTGAATTCCTCTTTTATTAACCAATAACCACTCACTCAGAGGAAGAAAAAGGCGATCAAGCCTTTGGTTGAGATCTGTTCGCAACTAGACAAGAGAGACTTTAGTAGAATCGGAATTCTTGCCGCACGCCATCTCCTCCTTCTCTTAACTTTCTATCTTCCTTCTCCTCCATCAATAACCAACCAGAGCATGATTCTTCATCATCTCTTTGTTGATTTCCCTTCTCCCTTCCAGTTTCTCTCTCATCCCTTCCATTTTTTTTATTAATCTGAACTGCCGTGTCCTACACCGGTGTCCTCCGATGTACCAGCCGTGTCCTTCAGCGTGTCTCGACCGTGTCCTCCGGCGTGTCCGACTTGAAAAAATGAATAAAAAAATAGGACACTGGTAGATCCGTGTCGGACACGTGTCCGGGGCTGGGACACGCGTGTCCGTGTCGGACACGTGTCCAACACCGGTACTTCAGCCCTATAACACGTGTCCGTGCTTCATAGTTTGTAGGTAAAAAAGTAAAGAAGGAAGAAGATTACAAGTGGGCCACAATAGGCTGTTGCAATTCGGTACAAAGGCTTCCACTAATCAAAAGGAAAATTATTATTAGTGGGTGGTTGAAGTTTCTTGCTTAGTCACATAATTTTTGTAACGGTCACTCTTATGTTACGAGTGCACTTTTATTCTCATGCTTTGTGCGCGTATTGGGTCAAATTTTTACTATTTATAACTTAATTATGTCGCTCTCATGTCGCTCTCACATTCTCACTTACAAAATTTACTCTCATTCTCACTCCCATTTTATATGACTTAGGTTTCTGGTCATTGTTATATTTTTCATTGCAATAGTTTTGTTTTTAATGCTCCGGGTCCCTTGCTAAGGTAAAAAATAAAAAATAAAAATAAATAATAAAAACAGATTCCATTTCACTGCTTTTTGTTTTCAAATCAATTTTAATGCTCCGGGTCCCTTGGGTGTGGTGTGGTAGCCTACTGCTTAGGTATTGGTGTTTGTGGCCAAATGATCTAGATTCGAGTCTCTATTCTATATATGTCAAAAAGAAAAAAGCAAAAAAAAAAAAAACCTAACTTGTGAATGAATTATTACTGGGCAAGAAGGTGACAGCGCGTGGCTTATTTGCGGTCTGTTTTTTTTTTTTTTTTAATGATGATGATGATATTTTTGAGAAAATTTAAGCTGATGCCTCAAATAATGGGCATTTTCTGCAAAGTAATGCCATTTTGGTTGATCAAGAGAACTTGCTAACTGTAGAAAATGGGGTATAAAGATGGGACCATATTTACAAGGTCTTACTTATAAAACAACTAAAAATACAATTTCTTGTTTTTTGTTTTTTATCTGGAAGTTCAAGCAATTTGTACATATTGAAAGTATTTTCACTGGTTTCATGAATTAAGGGCCATTAGGAAAGGAAAAAAGATAAAAAGTCCAATAGACAATATAAGATAGGCCCAAATGACATGACTCATTACTTCATTAGAGGTGGTCCAATAGCTCGGCAATTTATGAGTGGCCCTACTCAAGGAATTGCCGTTTGGAGACTGCGGTTGCCGCCAAGGGAAACCTCTTTGGTCGTGGTTTTGATAAATGAATGGATTGGATTCAAAGGAATTTGTAATTCTTGCTTGATTACGGGAGAAAATAATCTGAACAGTAAATTTGTCTTTAAATACAAGTGAACTCTGTTGAACAATTGTTTATAAGAAGCAAAAGGGAAGCTCCCAATGTGAAAAACAAACAAATGATTACTCCATCTAGTCAATGCATAAGACAATATATTTTCAGGCACATTGGGATAAATAGGAAAATGTAAATTTGTTATCTTTTTCATTGTAATATTTTTGTTTTCAACGATGCTGGTCCTTGTGTGTGAAACAGGGTTGCAGATGTGTTCCATTATTTTGTGCATGAATTATTGTTGGGAGAAAAAGTGGTGGCATGTGATTTAGATGTAACTTCGAGTCCAAGTTTATTCATTTATTAAATCATTTAAAAAATATATATATCAAATGTTCATGAAAGCGGGTAAAGTATGTTAGTAAGTGTGAAGATCCTAATTATATGATACAGTAAACTGTCAAATAAAAAAAAAAAAAACTAATTACATAAATTACTGCTATAATTAAAAAATTATTTATATAAATATTGTAGTGAGGGATTGAGAAATTATTAATGTAAATATTTATTTTTAAAATTAAGCATTTATAACACAGAAACTAGGCAAAAGCCATATCACCATATAATGAGAGACCAATCAGTCCATACAACAAACAAACACCCCAAAAGATCAAACACTGATCTAATAACAACCACCAAAAAAAAAAAAAAAAAAAAAAAACCCAAATACAAATAAGATGATATAAGAAGCACATAAACAAACCAAAAAACCCAACTAGCTCTAGAATAGACTAGAAGAAAGCCTATACCACAGTCTGCATATAACCACTGGTTAGTCATGGTTTTAGGCAAACCTCTAAGAGACAAAGCTATATAGCGAACCACATCAATAATTTTAAATTTAAGAGACTGCAAATCTGCAATTTCATGGCTCATCAATCTATTGTTTCTTTCCAACCATATGTAGTACACGGATGCAGCACGCAACCATCTGTTAATCAATTAATATGCAAAAGTCATATATTGTCATGACAACATCAAATCCAGTACTAATACAACAAATTATTTTCCTACCAACAGAACATTTTCATCACAAGTGATCAAATGCTTATTACAAAAGAGCTGCTTCTTGCATTTGGACCATAAAAGTTCAGGGCCACGACTGCCACCAAAGGCCATTCTTGTTCCAATCTAAAGGAAGTTTTGACTATTAATACTAGGCTGCTGCTCCACAAACATAGAACCCTCCTCACAACCTACAAAAAAAGGGATAATCAAATACAAAACAAGGAAAGCAATTTTCTTCAATTTACCTTCTTTTTTTTTTTTTTTCCTTTTTTTGTACTTGTTATTCTACATAAATTTCTTTAAAATTTTCGTTGCTATTTTAATTAAGAGTACACAACTCCAATATAAATGCAATAAAATAGAAAGAAGACCAAAACATTAACTAGTGGAAAAAGCCTACTTTAAACCAGTTTATTTTCTAAATAATAGCTTTGAAGAGAGAGATGAAAGTATGATATATGGCTGGGTGTACTTACCTTGCTCCTCCATTACAAGATGGATACCCCATTTCTTGATCTTCGCTGTCAGTTCTTCGTTCTTGTGATTGCCTTGGACGCATTTGAGGACAATTGATGGATTCTTGTTCAATAGATGTTTAATTGGTCGACAGGCCTTTTCAGACTTACTGTAATATTCTGTTATATGAGCTAATAAGACGTTATTTAACCCATTAGTTCTGTCAAAGGCATTCCACAGTAGACTTTCACAACTACCATTGATTACAAGACGAACTTCATGCGAAGCCACAATTCCATGGAATTCCAAAGCAAGACAGACAACAATTCCCTTGACGTTATCGTAAGAAGGTAGATGATGATCATCCACTCCCAAACACACTGAAGAGATCTCCCCTTCAATTATATTGCCGAACCATGGTGGAATATTCTCACTTATTGGACAAATCATTTGACCGATTTGCAGTTTTACGTTATCGTACGAAGGTAGATGATGATCATCCACCCCCAAACACACTGAAGAGCTCTCCCCTTCAATTATATGGCCGAACCATGGTGGAATCTCACTTCCTGGATAAATCATTTGACCGATTTCCTGTTCCATAAAAATAGATATTGTGAAGCTGAGTTTTTCATACATACAACTATCATATATATATAGAGAGAGAGAGAGAGAGAGGGAGATAGAGATGAAACCTGGAGCTGACTTTGTGAATATATATTTGGCATGTTGTTACTCTGATCCATAACCAATTTGTTGCACCCAGTAAATTTGAACCACCGATAGTTTTGACTCTTTACACATGGTGGAAACCAATACCATTCCAATGATTTGCATCCATTCGCATTCACATACCGTATAGATGACGGTAGTGACGTCAACGTTCGGAGGCTTGTGCAATCTTCCAATTCAAGGCTTTCGAGGTTCGTGAGTTGAATGAAGCTTGCTGGTATGCTTGTGAAATTGTTTTCACTTATATCTAATTCTTCCAATGAGGATAGGCGGCCAAAATCCCTGGGCAAGGATTCTTCTGATAAATTGCATTTATGGAGAAATAAACTCCTTAAAGTGGACAAACCGCAGAGCAGTTCCGTTCCAATGATTTGCATCCATGAATTATCGAGAATAATGGTAGCAATGCTACTCAAGTGCTGAATCGATGATGGTAACTGTTTCATGGCAGTTCCTTGCATCTGAAATTCGTTTAATTCCTTCATTTTCCAAAACATGTTGGTGGGAAGGCTTTTCAGCTTTTTACAGTTTGATAGCATTAAAATACGAAGCCCTCCAAGATGTTCAATTGATGAAGGTAAATCTTTTATTGCAGTATCGTACAAAATGAGTTCTCTTAAACGATCCATATCTCCCTGAATCTCTGGAAACGTCTCAAGTTTTGAGCATCCTCCAAGATCAAAATATTCCAGATTTTTCAACCGAATGATTTTGGGGAGACTCTTCAGTTTTTCACATGCAGAAAGATTCAGACGAACAACCCTTTCATGAACTCCGTCAGAAAGGTGAACCTCAACTAGATTTGCACACTCTGTAAGATTTAAATCCTCGAGAAATGGGAGACTAGACAAATCAATAGTTTTTTCCAAATATGGACAGTAACTTAAATTTAGGAGTTTTAACTTCCCTAGAAACTGTTCAGGAAACAAACAATTCAAGAAATACATTAGTTTAAATAAACAAAACAATATACTATGAATATGTAAATAGTTGGAAAAATAAACTTTGATCATACCTTCATATGACTCAATATTTGTTTGATTCGGCTATCACGAAGGTAAAGATGAACAAGCTTTTGTGGACGGAAGTTAGACGGCAAACATGTCGTCGGGTAACCTTCCCAATCAAGATAAGATAATTCATTTGAAAGATATGTAAGGCGTCCACAAGTTCGTATGCCACTGAGTTTGAGCACTTTAAGTCTCTTCATCTTCGCAAAGATATCAACATTTACAAGTAACCCCTCTGATAGATGGTCATCATCATGAGGCATGTTTAGCATAATCCCTCTAATTGTTTCCGTCGCCTAATTACCAAGAAAATTATGTAAGTTAACACATAGTATTAAAACCTAAAAATAATTATACAATTTTATAGGGGTTTGCATGAAAAAAAAGAAAAAGCAAAACTTATCCTTTTTTGAACTACTTGTCTGTGCAAAGAAACATATATATAGATTTTGAATATACCGTATTTTCTTCGAGTACTTTATAGATGTCTTCATGAAACCATAACCTACTGCGTTTGCCAGGATCATCAGGAGACTCTTGACGAACAATTTCTTTACCCATTTCTTGTATCAAATCATGCATCTGCAACTTGTTGTTTGAGATAGTTACCAAGGACCGTTCAACTAAAATTGGAATTCTTGGATAAAATCCACTACTGCTCAATATATCCATTACTGAATCTTTATGGTACCCATTGAAGAAACAAGCAATATCCAAGAATAAATCCTTCTCTGGATCATTAAGGCCACTGAAACTTATCTTAAGAACATCATGAATATCTCCATTAGGAATTCTTTTCAAATTATCAAGTTCATGTTCCCATTCTTTTGTACTTCTTTTAAATAAAAAAGAGCCCAAAACTTGAAAAGCTAATGGAAGGCCTTTTGCGTAAGTTATTACACAACTTGAGAGTTCCGCATAATCCTTTGGAGGATGTCTCATTGTGAAGGCATGATAACTGAAAAGTTGAAGTGCTTCATCATCATCCAACAACTCAACTTTGTATATATCATGATCAACTTTCTGCTCTACTAATAAACGTTCATTTCTAGTTGTTATGATGATTTTACTTCCAGATCCAAACCAGCCATTTCCTACAGCTAAACTTTCTAATTGATCCGAGTGATCCACATCATCGAGAACAACAAGAACCTTCTTGAAACGAAGTCTTCTCTTTATCACACAGGTTCCATAGTCAACGTTACATATCTTTGAATCTTCTTCCATCAGGATGTCATTCAAGAGTTGCTCTTGGAGACGAGTTAAACCTTGTTGTTCTGAAACTTTTCTCACATCACTAAGAAAACAACAATTTTCAAATTGATCAAATATTCGTTTGTAAACAGCTTTGGCAATTGTTGTTTTTCCAGCTCCACCAGTTCCATAAATTCCCACAATGTGCACATCATTTAACTCATTATCTAGCAAAGTAATCACTTTATTCACACGAGAATCTATCCCCACTTGATACTTGGCAATATCTAATGGTATACGCCCTAATTTTTTTATAATCTCCTGGACAATAATTCGGATAGCCTTCGCCTCATGCCTATCAAGCACAAAGCAAATTCAAAAGATATATCAAGATAGGATCTCATTGTACTAAATGAAAGACAAAAACCAAAGTTATTACGGCTCCGTTTGTTTGAACATAAAATATTTTTTTAAAAATATTTTTTTATTTTTTGGTGTTTAGTTGTCCTAAAATATTTACGAAGAAAAGAAATATTAAAATTTAACAAAATTAATTTATTCATAAATTTTTAACAACTTATTTTACATGTCCCGCCCGATAGACTCGACCTCAACCTCGACGTAGGTCTTTGCCTAACACCGACAAAGTAAAAATAAATGAATATTTTACCTGAAAAAGAAAAATATTTTTTAAAAAGAATATTTTATTTCGAAACAAACGAAGCCTACATGTATTTTTTTTTTTTTTTCCCAATTATTATTGTAAATAGAAATAAAAAATTAGTTCGGTCAGTAGCAACTTTTATATGAAAAAATAATAATAAACAATTTAAACCGTAAATTAAATGGTTAGAAATAGATTAATACATCTAAATGAATGTTGATAACTACATGATGATTATAAAAATAAGTGGAAATATTAACAACTGAAGTCCTGATTTATATAAAATTGTATGTTGGGCGTGGGATGCACAGGTGGTCTCCACTCCCCTAGGCAGTGTGGAGAAGATTATAGTCTCAACGTTACTTCATACTTGTGCTTATTTCAGCCAATTTTCGAACAATACATCAAAATTGAAATGAAGAATGATCATAAGAACCCAAAAGAAAATGAAAAAGGAAATGAAAATTTTATATATATGCGGCGAATATGGCATCCCCTTTAATATTAAATATTAGTTATGGAGCGAGATGCCATATTCGCACTCTATTTTTTTACATTTACATTCCATTTCAAATTTTCTTCTAATACAATTATCAAAAAAGTCATTAAACTTATTAATACATCATATCTTATTTTTATAATAACATATCTATTCTTTTTGGTATCTAAATTTCAACTTTTTTACATTCTTTATTTTCTTTAATACCATTATTTCCGGTCAAAACAGAGAATTTAATTTATTTAAGAATAAAAATTACATAACCTCTTTAAAAATTTCACCCTGAAATAAAAAAATGCTATCAAGTTATCATGTGCCGACTTATTTATTAAGTTGTAAAAATGACAAAATTAACTTTATAATTTAATATTAAATTAAAACTAATATTTATTATTTTGAAATTAAAAAAATACCATTCGTAATATTCATCATCACCGTCGACGTCCGCCCCACCTTACCGTGGGTTCTGGCCATGGAGGATCAAACCCAAAATCCCACATCGCAGAACAAACCCAAAATCCAACATCGCAGACCCACGGCGTCCTGCCGTAGTGGAGGTCGTTGTCCATGGCGCCGTAGTCGGTGACGGAGATGGAGGTAGTAGATTGGGGAATCCGTACTCCAATCACCACCGAATCACTGCTCCCACTCACAAAACCACAACCAAATCAATAACGATCACAGGCGAGCCATATTTGTTACCATGGAGAAACTCGTGATTCGGATCGTTAAGAGCAGAGCCTAACCCTATATTTCAATTACGATTTGGAAGCAATATGGCGGTGATGATGGTGGCGCCCCCACCCTCCTGCCCCGTCAATTGCTTCAAAACGGACCCCTTCTGCGGCGTCACCTACTGGTGCGGGTGCGGCGACGCCATATGCGCTGGCACTTAGGTTTTTTTATTTGTAGAGAAATTGAAGATCAGGAGGATGGTGGTGGTGTTGATTTTTCCCCTTTATTTAATTGTCAAAAGAGATAATTGTGCTCCATGTTTTGCTCAACTATCTCAGAAATGCACATATTTCTTGAAAAGGCAGATTTCAGAAGTAAACTCAAAATTTCTCTTAATTTTCACCGCAAATAAAAATATTATAAAATAAAACAATAAAATTGAAGACTAATAGATGCAGATATATTCAATATTATATTTTGAGTTGGTAAGTAATTACCCATTTGCAATTTTTTTTGGCTCGAATCCGCTTATGTTTGCTGCCTCAACCAAAGCATTTCTCCAGCTTTGCATCTTTTCGTTGTCCTTCCCAAAAGCTTCTTCGTGCTTGCGAAATGCTTCTGCAAAACTCTTCTTTTGTTTCCTTACTCGTGAGGGAGCCACGTTGTAGAAGATAGGCAAAACTGTTTGTCCCATCGTGCTCTTGCATTTAATGATCTCCACTAGTTCATCCAAGCACCAAGTGGAAGAAGCATAGTTTGTTGAGAAAATGATGATTGCAATTCTGGATTCCTTAATAGCCTTGATGAGTTCCTGAGAAATTGATTCTCCTCTCTTAAGTTTCTCATCATCTTTGAAAGTGTAAATTCCTTTATCTTTCAGAGCACTATATAGATGATCCACAAAGTTCTTGCGAGTGTCCTCGCCTCTGAAACTCAAAAAGACATCATAATTCCATCCAGGAGAAGAAGAAGAAGAAGAAGCAGCAGCAGCAGCAGCCATGAGGACTGGGTGATTTTCAAAGCAATTTTGGTACTTGAAATTAAAATCTCTCTCCTCTCTTGTACATGGCTGTTGATGTCTATGTATAATCAATATGTCCAAGGCTCCAAGCAGTTGGTGATTTCAAAGCATTTGCTGGAAACTTTCCACTAAACTTCTTCTACCTTTCGGTGTAATGCAAGTGCTTGGACAAAAAGCATCTCTTTACAAAACAAAAGACTTCCATTAAACAAAAGACGTCCTTTGTATTTTTGTGAGTAATAAAATAAAAAATTGGGACTTTGGTCTTGTAAATCTTCGTGCTATTATAATATTATTCCTCTTTGACAGTGTGTATGTTTGACTGAGACATGGGTGGTTTCAAGTGTCATCATATCCTAGGGACATAAATGAACCGATTTGTTAGCTCATGAGCAGTTCAGATTCGTCTTGCTACGGGCTCGACTCCGATTCAGTTATTTAGTAATTTATGGTATATACTTAAACTTTAACATATATTATTCATTTCTTTTTCCTTTTTCTATATCCTTTCGATGGGCATGGGGGATTGATTTAATTGGTTGAATATGAGATCGTCTTACATGTCAGTGGTAAAGCATTAGGTATTATTTATTGGAAAATATATGCTTCAAATGACATTTAAGATATAACTAACCTTAAACTAATATGTCATGAGATAATTAATAATATGCTAAAAAATAATCAATTAAATATTCAACTAGATATTTAATTAAAATGCAAATTAAAGTAATAAAAAAATAATTACAAAATAAAGAACCTGGACCGAGGCTAGTAGTGGATATTATGTCCTTAAGACAATTTACACCCCGCATGGTGTTGACGGACTTTGTGGAACTTGTCTCCTAAGATACAACGGTCTACATTCACCAGTAGCAGTACTACAAACTCGTGGATACGGCGAACCTCCTCCGTGTAATACTCTCTCTTACTTATAAATGCATCTATATATAAAAAATAATGAAATTGGTGCAACTCGAACCAAAGGGCTTGGACCAATTTTAATATAGCTCATCCATATTGTTCTTGGGTCTTAGTGGCTTGGACCACTTAACCTATGGCTTGAACCTACACCCACTTGGGTTGGGTTCATGTTGAGAAAGGGAGAGAAGAATGGAAAAAATGCACAACTTTTGCAAATGAATTCTATGGCTATTTATAAAAGAATTGGTGACTCTTGAGGTTAAGTCACATTGGTTCAATCATTGGGTGCATCCAATTAGATATGGGTTGCATCCCATCATTATATAACTGAAATAACCTACCCAACTATTAACTGTCAATTGTAACATTTCAGTCGCATCCCTTTGTTGCTTATTAATTATAAGACACGGCCATTCACCATCGGTATATCCAACTCTAGTAAAATCGTGACATTCATGTTAGCCTAACATGACATTGATGGCCACCCAAAGCCAAATTCACATTGTTTTGGAAAGATCTGAAACATGGCGTCTTTTGTCATAAGACACGACCACCGGATGCAATAGTTCAAAGAGTTGCAACTGTGGTTGTCAATGGTTGCGATTGATTTATGTAACATTTGGGAAGTAACAGTAATAACTTTCTATATAACTAAACTAAAAAGGACAAATTGATAATTTTAAAAAGAGACAATGCATTAATTACATGTCCCTTTAAAAACTCTGATTTCTAAATTGACATCTAATTAGGATGTCAATTTGTACCGCCCCGCCAGAGCCCGCCCCGTCCCGCCCCTAATGTCACGGGTATGGTAACCAGTTATATACTATACCATTGGGGCGGATATGAATTCAATATTGAAACCCGTCACGGGTTACAAGGCAGGTACAGGTCTGAGGCTTTCCCGATAGATTCTTGTGTGCATCTGCTCCATATGAGAAGGAGCATTTTCAGTATCTCCCTCTATAAAAAACCGCCCCACCCCGCCTTATATATAACTTTTATAATATATATATATATATATATATATATATATATATATATGAACATACATATATGTTATAACTCTAATTAAAGCCCATCAATAGTTCACTTCCCCACCACTTCCAAAACGGCGCATCTCACCAAAGACCATGTGTTCCAAGATAAGGATCCTCTCCAGGGAAGGAGAGGTCCTGCACACCCACCAACTATTGGATTGGATTCTCCCACTTGTGATGATGCCATATCAATGGTTGGTGGGTGTGCAAGACCTCTCCTTTCCTGTGGAGGATCCTTGTCCGTGTTCCAAACCTTAAAGAAGTCCCAGGTCTTCTTTCTTAACTTCTTACCAACAATAATTGCTTTTCTATGAGCATCTTCTTGCCATGATTTAAAGGAATTATCTACAAAAAAGGGACGAAGAGAAACAAAGTCAGAGGGTTTTGTGACTGGTTCAACACCTTTTTTCCTTGTATTTCGAATTTTATTAACTTTTAGTTTTTACACTGTAATGGAGAATTCCAAGTACTGTTGCTAGGGTTTTTAGAAGAATTGTGTCCTAGTTACTTTTTCATTTAACCCCTTGTCTAATTTTGTTCCTTTTATGAATACCTTATGTGTGTTTAGTTAATTGTGTTTCAATTTTCACTAATGTTTTAATAATTTTGTTTTTGATGAGCGCTGAAAAGTACACATTTAAACCCCTTAAGCTTGAGTATTCTAGGACCTTTATCTATCTTATTTACCCATTTTAGTACTTATTTGTGTTGTTGTCTATTTCAGGTCAATAATGTTAAAATGGGCTAAAAATGAGTTCTTAAGGCCTTTTTAGAGTCAAACTAAGTCTTAGCGATAATCCGGAGCAAAAAGAGGCTGATTTGGAGCAAAAAGAAGCTGATACTAAAAAGCTGAAAAGTTGGATGGATCGCAGAAAAAGTTAGATCGATCGAAATTTTAGTTGGATCGATCGAAAATAAGTTGAATCGATCGAACTGGACATGCTGGCAGCAAGCTGTCACTTTTTCCGTGCTCGCCCAAAAGTTCACCTACCAAAAAGTTGCGGGATTAGATATTTTTGGGCATATATTCTAGACTTAGTGACTAAGAAAAGGACCTTCTATATAAAGGGAAGCAACCCATTTGTAAAAGGGGATTCTTTAGGCTTTTTATCATTTTTATTTTCTACATTGTAATTTTTATTTTTCTCTTGAGAAAAGTTAGAGATTAGGGTTAGAAGAAAAGAGATAAGTGGAGGCACATCTCAAGAACACATCTCTAAATCCACTATCTCTCCATCTCTAGAGCTTCAAAGAAGAAGAGGAAGAAGAAGATGGAGCAATGTTTGGAGCTTGATTCCATGACTACATCCACCTCCTCCATGATTGACTAGATCTACACTTAGGGCTTGGATGAGCCCTAAGTCTTGTGTAATCTAAACCCTTATATTTCTATTTTTGGGGATTTATATATATATTGTTGTGATTAGTGTTCTAGCCTTGTGAATTTCATGAATCTTGGTATATTTCAATGATTTCCATGGTCTAATTCTTCCTATTAATTCTCTAGTTTATTTACATGTCTATGTGTGATTAAATTAGAAATTATGTCTCACATGATTCATATGGGTTAATTCTTCCATTGATTCTCTATTTTAATTACATGTTGTCTTATGTGTGATTATTTGGGGAATTGATCTCTACACTAGTTTTTCTATATTAATTGCATATCTATGTGTGGTTAATTGAGAATCTAGTGATGACTAGACATTAGTGCTTAATGGAATGCTCTTGTTATGTCTCTTAATGGTTCATACTTATTCCTTGATGGATTGTGCCTCTCCTTTAGTTTATTTTCATGCTAGTAGTGTAGTTGTAGTGTAGTGTTAGATGGGGAGACAATTCATGTTTGTTCTTTGATGTTCCATGTTTTTGAATGCAAGAAGCATATGCTCTAATATTGTGGTATAATGGAATTTTGAGCTTAATGAAGGATTAATGACTTGATTTGATATTTTGTTCTCTTCACATGTTGTCTAGACAATATATTCCTCTTCCAATAGATATATTGTAGCCTTTCACATGTTGTTTAGACATTATACACTTGTTGAGTCACCTTTGCTAGTCGAACCAATTTTGTTCACAACAATGTATTCCCCATTAATGGAAAGCAAGTGGTTAATTACACGAGCTTAGTGGTGATTCCAACACCCTAAGTCCTCTCTTCTCATCTCTTAAACCCCTATCTCTACTTAGTTTTATTTTTATTGCATTTTAATTAATTCTTTTCTAGAAGTAATCAACCAACCCAACTCTCTTTTGCAATCATTTGGTACGCTAGAGTCGAAGTTGAAATTCCAACACGTATAATCCCTTGGGACGATCCCTACTCACTCTTGCTACGTTAATAGTGGTGTTGGTAGTGGTTTTTATAAATTTAAATTTGACATAAAAGGCTTTTCTTGAACCACACATTCACTACATTTAGTTTGGCGTATTGGAATGGCCGTCGTCAGTTTTCATACCTTAGTTATATATTCGATGACTGGTGCTGCTGTTTATGGTGCCGGCTGTGTAGTTGTTAAGGGTATGTTTTACTCTACTGGGTTGATCTCCAAAAAGAAAAAAAAAAAAAAAAAAAAACCCTAACCGAGAGGGGAGGGGAGGGGCTGGGGCGGGGGCGGGCACGGGTAGATTTATCTCCTAACTGGGTGGGATGGACTCTGAAAATTCACCCTGTCCTGGGCATGGGGTGGCGATGGATTTGTCAAAATTTTGGCTGGCCAGGGTCGGGTTTAGGTAAACCCGCTCAGTTACCATCCCTACAACTAATATGGGATGGAGGGAGTAAATGATTACTCCATAGTCCACTTAGTCAAAAGGTATCTAATATCTTATCAGTGGATGGTCCTTTGAATGGGTCCTTGTGGAAGAAAGCAACATTTATGAATGAATTATTGTTGGGGAAGAAAGTCATAGCATATGAGGACATTGGTTATTTTTGATGGTGTAACTTATATTTGAAGGGTTTATTGATTAATAATTATTATAAATAAGAATTTTTCAATGGTCAATAATTTGGAAATAAAA